TCCTTGTAGTTTTCTGCAATCCACACTCGTCCTGACTTTCCTTATCAGCTTTACATCATCAAGAAACCCATGATGCAAAAAGAGTCTTGTTCATCAGCTATGTTATCTAAGTATAAAATGAATAGCATGAGTTACAGCACTGACTCTTATGAGGCTTCACTTAAGATGTTCCCAGCCAGATACTACTCTCTTATTTTTTTTTTGAGATATATACAGGAGTTGTTACATTCTTGTACAGCCACTAGTACGCGTAGCGTTTCGGGCAGGTCCCTGGAATACGATCCCCTGCCGCGAAGAATCGTTTTTTCATCCAAGTACACATTTTACTGTTGAGTTAAACAGAGGCTACAGTTAAGGATTTGCGCCCAGTAAATCCTCCCCGGCCAGGATACGAACCCATGACAAAGCGCTCGCGAAACGCCAGGCCAGTGTCTTACCACTACACCACAGAGACTGGTAATCTCCGTGGCGTAGTGTAGTGTAGTGTAGTGTAGTAGTGTAGTGCTACCGTGGTGTAAGTGTTAATCTTACTGTTACATTTCGTTAGGTAGATTCATTTTGTTAATTTATTTTCGTTAGGTAGTTTCTTTTCGTAAAGTAGCTACTTTTCGTTAGGTAGTTTCTTTTCGTAAAGTAGCTACTTTTCGTTAGGTAGTTTCTTTTCGTAAAGTAGCTACTTTTCGTTAGGTAGTTTCTTTTCGTAAAGTAGCTACTTTTCGTTAGGTAGTTTCTTTTCGTAAAGTAGCTACTTTTCGTTAGGTAGTTTCTTTTCGTAAAGTAGCTACTTTTCGTTAGGTAGTTTCTTTTTGCTAGGTAGTTTCTTTCATTAGATAATTTCTTTTCATAAAGAACTTTCTTTTCATTAAGTAGTTTCTTTTCGTCAGGTAGTTTCTTTTTGTTTGGTAGTTTGTTTTCGTTTAGTAGTGTCTTTTCGTTAAGTAGCTCCTTTTCGTTAGGTAGTTTCTTTTCATTAGGTAGTTTCTTTTCGTCAGAAAGCTTATTTTCATAACGTAGTTTCTTTTCATTAGGTAGTTTCTTTTCGTTAGATTGTTTGTTTTTGTTAGATAGTTTTTTTTGTTAGGTAGTTTCTTTTCGTTATGTAGTTTCCTTTCGTTTAGTACTTTCTTTTTGTTATGTAGTGGTTTTCCGTTAAATAGTTTCTTTTTGTTAGGTAGTTTCTTTTCATTAGATAGTTCTTTTCATTGGGTAGTTTCTTTTCAATAAGTAGTCTCTTTTCGTTATTTAATTTCTTTTCGTTAGGTAGTTTATTTTCATTTTAGTAGGCAACCATCAGTCTCAGGAGACTATGGAGTTGCGCTCTGGTTATCAGTCTGGAGTGGCCTTACCAGGGCGCAAAGCCAGGGTAGGTTGATACGGGGGAGAAGCTGTCAACCATGCAGCAGGTCCACCCCCTCTCCATGGCGCTGAAAGTCTCCAATGGAAAGGCATACGCCAATACGATTGGTTCCAGCGCCGTCGCAGGAACTGTGAGTTCCGGGGCTGACCTCAAAGGTGGTGAAGAAGGGCACAGGGACCTCCAACCCCGGAGACCGCCGTGGAGAGGGGGAACCTGCTTAGTTTAATTTCGTTAGATAGTTTATTTTTGTTTATTTTTGTTTCATTAGGTAGTTTTTTCGTTAATCAGTTTATTTTCGTTAAGTAGTTTTTCATTAGGTAGTTTTTTTTGTTAGCTAATTTTTTTTCGTTAGGTATATTTTGGTTAAGTACTTCCTTTTCGTTTTGTTAGGTACAGTTTCTTTTTGATAGTTTAATATCGTTAGGTAATTTCTTTTCGTTTGATAGTTTTTTTAAGTAGTTTCTTTACGTTAAGCAGTTTCTTTTCGTTTAGTAGTTTCTTTTCATTAGGCAGTTTCTTTTCGTTAAGTGGTTTCTTTTTGTTAGGTAGTTTCTTTTCGACAGGTAGTTTCCTTTTCATAGATAGTTTCCTTTTGTTAGAAAGTTTCTTTTCATTATGTAACTTCTTTTTGATAGATATTCTCTTTTAGTTTGGTAGTTTCTTTCCATTAGGTAGATTGTTTTGCTAGGTAGTTTCTTTTCATTAATTTAAGTAGTTTCTTTTCGTTTTGTATTTCTTTTCGTTAGGTAGTTTCTTTTCATTAGGTAGTTTATTTTCATTGGATAATTTATTTTCGTAGTTTCTTTCCATTGGGTAGTTTATTTTGTTAGATAGTTTCTTTTTGTTGAGCAGTTTCTTATCGTTAGGTAGTTTCTTTTCGTTGGGTAATTTCTTTTTGTTAGATAGTTTCTTTTCGTTAGGAAATTTCTTTTAGTTAGGTAGTTTATTTTCGTTAGATAGTTTATTTTCGATAGATAGTTTATTTTCGTTTAGTAGTTACTTTTCATTAGACAGATTCTTTTAGTTTGGTAGTTTCTTCTCGTTAGATAGTTTCATTTAGTTCGGTATTTTTTCTTTAGGTAGATTATTTTCGTTAGATAGTTTCATTCATTAAGTAGTTTCTTTTTGTTTAGTACTTTATTTTCATTGAGTAGTTTCTTTTCATTAAATAGTTTCTTTAATTAAGGTAGTTTCTTTTTGTTAAATAGTTTCTTTATATAAGGTAGTTTCTTTTGTTAAATAGTATCTTTTTGTTAAGAGTTCCTTTTTGTTAAGTAGCAAGTTTCTTTCTGTTAGACAGTTATTTCATTAAGTACTTTATTTTTGAAAGGCAGTTTCTTTTCGTTAAGTAGTTCCTTTTCGTTAGGCAGTTTTTTTTCCCTAAGTATTTTTTTCGTTAGGTAGTTTTTCATTAAGTATTTTTTTCGTTAGGTAGTTTATTTTCGTTAAACAGTTTTTTCGTTGGATAGTTTATTTTCGACAGATAGTTTCATTTTGTTAGATAGTTTATTTTAGCTTTGTAGTTTCTGATCGTTAAGTAGTTTCTTTTCATTTGTAAGTTTCTTTTCATTAGGTAGTTTCTTTTTTGTCAAGTAGTTTCTATTTGTTGGATAATTTCATTTTGTTAGATATTTTCTTTTCATTAAGTAGTTTCTTTTAGTAAGGTAGTTTCTTTTTCTTAGATAGTTTCTTTCGTTAGGTAGTTTCTTTTTGTTAAGTAGTGTCTTTTCGTTAAGTAGCTCCTTCTCAATAGGTACTTTCTTTTCGTTTGGTTGTGTCTGTTCATTTGTTAGCTTATTTTCGTTAGATAGTTTATTTTCGTTAAGTAGTTTCATTTTGTTAGATAGTTTCTTTTTCTTAGGTAGTTTTGTTTCAATAAGTAGTTATTTTCATTAGGTAGTTTATTTTCGTTAAGTAGTTTAATTTCGTTAGATAGTTTCTTTTTGTTTAATTTTTTGTTTCATTAGGTAGTTTTTTCGTTAATCAGTTTATTTTCGTTAAGTAGTTTTTCATTAGGTAGTTTTTTTCGTTAGCTAATTTATTTTCGTTAGGTATTTTTTTGGTTAAGTACTTTCTTTTCGTTTTGTTAGGTACAGTTTCTTTTCGTTAGATATTTTCGTTTGGTTTGGTAATTTGTTTTCATTAGATACATTCTTGTTGTTAGGTATTTACTTTTCATTAAGTAGTTTTTTTTTGTATAGTACTTTTTCGGTTAAGTAGTTTATTTTCGTTATGTAGTTTTTTTTCGTTAGGCAGTTGCTTTATGTTAGGTAGTTTTTTTCATTTGATAGTTTCTTTTTATTAGACTATTTCTTTTTGTTGGGTAGTTAAATTTCATTAAGTAGTTTATTTTCGTTTGATAGTTTATTTTCGTTAGGTAATTGTTTTTGTTAGGTATTTTCTTTTCGTTAGGGTGTTTCTTTTCATCAGGTAGTTTCTTTTTGTTGTATACTTTCTTTTTGTTTTTTACTTTCTTTTTCTTAGATACTTTCTTTTCGTTTAGTAGTTTCTTTTTGTTAGATAGTTTATTTTATTTTGGTCGTTTCTTTTCATTAAGTATTTGCTCCACGTTTAGTACTTTCTTTTCATTAAGTAGTTTCTTTTCATTAAGTAGTTTCTTTTCATTAAGTAGTTTCTTTTCATTAAGTAGTTTCTTTTCATTAAGTAGTTTCTTTTCATTAAGTAGTTTCTTTTCATTAAGTAGTTTCTTTTCATTAAGTAGTTTCTTTTCATTAAGTAGTTTCTTTTCATTAAGTAGTTTCTTTTCATTAAGTAGTTTCTTTTCATTAAGTAGTTTCTTTTCATTAAGTAGTTTCTTTTCGTTAAGTAGTTTCTTTTTGTTATGTATTTTTTTCGGTAAGTAGTTTCTTTTCATTAAGTATTTTGTTCGTTAAGTAGTTTCTTTTCGTTAAGTAGTTTCTTTTCGTTAGGTCGTTTTAACTCAATTGTGTACTCTGCCAATTACTCCAGACTGGTTCTTTAGGTTTGTATTATCTGCATTTGGTTCAGAGAATTCTTCTACACCCCTAAGCCCGGTCTGGGGTAAGGCTTTCCTTATGAAAACTTGATCAGTAAAGCTGTTGCTTGGAGCGCCCTGCAGGCCCACATATCCACTGCAAACAGGCTGATCTGGCACTTCCTGCAGGAACCGCTCCAGTTATCTTTTGAACACCTCCACTTATGTTCCGGTAATATTCTTATATATGGTGGGATGAGGTTGAAGAGCAGTGAACCTCTGATATTCATAGTGTTCTCTGATTATGCCTATGGCACTTCAATGTTTGTATTAAATGCTTTATAACAATCTAGGAGCTATGAAGTCTGCCCCACCCTTCCATTTTTTGTTTGATCTCTGCAATTCTTTAGTTAAAATACAACATGTTCGTAACGCCTGATTAGCCTTCTCTGAACTATTGCTTATGTTTTGATGTTAAGTTAATTATCTCGAGGTAACCTAATATTTTCGTTATTTTTCTCTCAGGCATTTAGAATAGTGTTCTTGTTAAAGTCACTCGTCTGAAGTTTAGTGGTTCCTTTCTGAATATTGAGTATGACATATGGCTCCTTCCAGCTTTTTAGTACTACCTTGTCTTCAGTGACGAGCAGGAGATACTTCCAGACGGCTTATATTCTAATTTAAGAAATGTCTTTCTGCATCCATGGTGAGTTCCTATCAGGTCCTGCATCTTTTGTTTCGTCAAGTTTGTGCATCTGGTCTTCACCTTAAATTCCGTCTCAGGAGGCTCCCTCCCGCTCATATCAGGTAGCTATTTTTATTTCACTTTGAAGACCTCTTGGAACCTTTCACCTAGTTCTTCACAAGGTGAAGAGTATCTTCACTTCACTCTTTACTAGTAGGAAAATAGTATGTAAAGGATCTGGAAATATTTATCTCTGATGACCTAACGTTTATTGAGCATAACCAAGCAAATTTAACATCTGCCAGAAAAATGATAGGATAGATTACCTGAACCTTCAAATCCAGGGATCCCATCACAATGGTTGTACTATTCAAATAACGTGTGCTATCCCATCTTTAGTACTGCTCGATACTCACTTCCTTCTTCAGAGCAGAAGAGATTGCTGAAATAGAGGAATACAGTGAACATATACAGCATACATAAACACAATAACGCACCTAAACTATTGGGATCATCCTAAAACTATTCAAATGAACTCCCAAGAAAGGAGACGAGATATATATCAAATAATATACACGTGGAAAATACTGGAGGGCCAGGTCCTAAATCTACACAGTAGAGTAACAACATACTGGAGTGAACTATATGGAAGGAAAAGCAGAATAGAACCAGCGAAGAGCAGAGGTGCCATAGGCACAAACAGAGAACATTTTTTGAACATCAAAGGTCCACGGTTGTTTAAAATCCTCCCAGCGTGCATAAGAAATATTGCTTGAACAAACGTGGACGTCGAGAAAAAAGTGGATAGTTTTCTTCAAGAAGTGCCAGACCAACCAGGCTGTAGTGAATATTTGGGCCTGTGGGCCGCTCCAAGCAACAGCCTAGTTGACCAAGCTCTCACAAGTCAAGCCTGGCCTCGGGGCCGGGCTTAGGGAGTAGAAGAACTCCCAGAACCCCACCAAGCAGGTAAATGTGGGCCTGCGGGCCGTTCCAAGCAACAGCCTGGTGGACCAAGCGCTCACAAGTCAAGCCTGGCCTCGGGCCGGGCTTAGGGAATAGAAGAACTCCCAGAACGCCATCCAGCTCCATATTTCTCAATAATTTAGTGTTAACTATCCACTACTATTGACAAACATCGCCATCTGGTCGTTTATTGAGGTGTTCCAACTGATGTACTCACCTACTTGTGCTTGCGGGGGTTGAGTTTCGGCTCTTTGGTTCCGCCTCTCAACCGTCAATTAACTGGTGTACAGATTCCTGAGCCTACTGGGCTCTATCATATTTACATTTGAAACTATGTATGGAGTCAGCCTTCACCACATCACTTCCTGGTGCATTTCATTTACTAACTAATCACTGATGTGTCTGTGTTGCAATCTTGGTGCGTGCATCCTTAACTTTAGAAGCAAATGTTGCTGTTTGATTATTGCTCCTTTACTCGTCATATGTACACATTTTCCTCTGTTTTGGGGTTTAAGTTCCCTTCTAATGATGGCTTCGACTTCCTTTTATTGACCATTGGTCCATGGGCTGTCCTTCTTCCTTGGCTCCTTATCTCTATGTAGAGAAATGTGTCTTCTCATCTGCTTTTATGCAGCATGTTTTAATGTCTGTCAAATCCCGCACATAGTTGCTTCTTAGGTCTCTTTCCTTTTGGATCATTTTATGTACTCCCTTTTCTTTTATTAGTTCCCTTTCGATTGAGCATAGTCTTGTTTTTCCTGGTCCTCTCTTTCATTTTGCCTTTTAACTACCATAAAATGAATATTAGCACACAGTGATCATTGACCACGACCGGTATTTGACAGTGTATGCTTAAAAGAGTTGTCTCTGAGTGAAAATGAGAACTAGCATTGAAAGAGCATCGCCTTATCTTTCTGAACCTATTCGGTTCACAGGATCATTGTCGCCGCGACCCGGTCTGTGACCAGACCCTGAACTGGGTATTCATAAGATTTTTAGAAACAACTAGAATTGCTTGCACGATGACTAGGTAGTACAGAGTTTATCAAATGCTCTCCAAGTGTTTAGTCACTTTCAAGTGAGTTGATCTAGTTACATCATTAACAGTGAGCGGGTACGAGAGCGACCAGTGGCCCGTGGTCGAGCTGGGTGCCGCCAACATCTCTGGTGAGTGTTCGATGCCCTTCTTGGCCGTCGGCGACCAGTGCCTGTACTTCGCCACCTTTGCAGAGGTGACCTATGAGGAAGCCAGACAGATGTGTCACTCGCTGAATGGGGAACTGGCAGTAATTCTCACAGCCACCCGCTTGAAGAACATCATTGACTACCTTTATGACAACGGTGAGCACCGCCACATCTTCATGTACTGACTTATTTTATGATAACAAAGTAATTTTTAACATTCTTAGGCTGTCCAGCATATCCCTGAGGACCAGATGAAGCGCCCCACATGATGACTGGCATGGGGACTCACCCCCATGCGCAGGCTTCGTTGGGACAGTAAACAAAGAAGAACAGCAAAGTATTTTGATACTATTTAAGAACCCGAATTTAGGAACTTTAATACACATTGCAGAACATACTTAAAAAAATTAAAAAAATTGTCATTTAGAAGAAAGAACAAGCAGAGGAAGAATTCTGTGAGAAGTTATTTAACATAAGCGTGTTTCTTCACATGATGAATAGGTCTTCAGAAGTGAAGTATAAGTTGTCAAGTTTTGGAGACATGGTCGTCGCGGCAGATGCAACCCTAATAATCGAGGCAATGTACATTTCTTCAGCCCCCCCTAGCAATTAGCAGTGATGGTTGCTTCCCTAGCATCCAGAGGTGGGGGTTGCTCCCATGTACTCAACAGTGACGGTTGCTCCACCAACACCTAGCAATGACGTTTCTTCCCCCATCAGTGATAGTATCTTCAAGTACCCCGCAGTGACAGTTGTTGCAACAGAACACACCAGTGAGGGGTTGCTCCCTAGAATCCAATAGTGGATTGCGGTTACGAATTTTGTGTTTTCCAGTTATTGTGCCCTGCTGGTGTGTGTGTTCGCAGTATCAGCATGACGTTTACATGTGTCAGTCGATGACGCGCCATTTGTAATGACGGGCGAAGTGATTATTCATCTCATAGCATACTTGGGTGGTTGCAGGGATACGGATGAATCATTTTGTACATGACCCGGCAAGGGGTCTTTTCACATTGTCCCATACGATGAAGATTGAGTTTTCAAGGAATATGCATTCGTCTGTTTCTGTTAGCGGCGGTATTTTGCATTTTGTTAACGCTGGGCAGGCCCGGTCCTGTTAAAAATGTGGTCTCCTGGGTTACCTGGCGGCTACTTGCAGGGCAGAAGCGTGTGACTGTGTTAACCATTATTGGGAAGAGGATTATCCGCCCACAAGACCACCTAACCCCCTCGGGCTCTAATGACGTGTGTGAGATAAACTGTAGCTCTGCGGGTGTGAGTTGCTGTTACGCCGATCTGATTGTGTGAACCTTTCACAGGTCTGAGTGCTAAAAGCCTCTGGATCGACGGGTCTGACCAGGCAACGGAGGGAGAATGGCGGACGTCCTTCGGTGAGGCTATTCCCATGGGCACGCCATTCTTTCCGCCAGGGGAACCAAATGATCTGGGTGGTGATGAGGACTGTCTGGAGTTGATGGACGCTTTTTTCTTTCAATTTAACGATAGACCGTGCACTGTTTTTAGGCACCCAATGTGTGAGCAACAATGGGATGTTGCCCAAACAGGTAAGCACAAAAGATTTCACAACGCCAAGTAGACCCAAATTAACTAATAGCTACTATGTTGTTAATCAGATTGAAGATCGAAGAATAGATATTATAAATATTTAGTCAATAAAAAGGTTTTATGTATCGTTGATGGTTATCCATTTATATATTTTGAAATTATCGGATTATAATTTGTACCAAGTTCTAGATAGCATGAATTTTGAACTGCACTGATCGAGCACGTGTCTTTAAATAAAGCTGAACAATATGTGTTCACCTTTTTTATGTATTTGTAACAAATCTCCTTCAGATTCAGATTCTTTATTCAGGTAAAGGTACATCCATTGAGTTACATACATAATGATGGATATAAAGATAGAGATAGTATATATAATACCCGAAGCCACTAGTACGCATAGCATTTTGAGCAATACTTCCTTCGTATTGTAGGCCTTTATTTTGTTATTACATAATTTGATTATGATACAGCTCTTTTTATCATTAAACACATATTTATATTATTTGATTGAATGTATGTGTATATCCAATGAAAGCGACGCCCGAGGAGCTGGACTGCCCGCCCTTCTTCGTCAGTGTGGGCGGCCTGTGTCTGTCGTTCATGACGTGGGCGGAGGAGACGTGGGCGGACGCCCGTCAGGCTTGTCACGGAATGTCCGGGGAGCTGGCCGCCATCACTGACATCGAGCAGCTCAGAGCTGTATACCTCTACCTCCACCAGGAAGGTGAGGCTGCTGGGGGGGTATACCTCTACCTGCACCAGGAAGGTGAGGCTACTCGGGGGGGTATACCTCTACCTGCACCAGGAAGGTGAGGCTACTGGGGGGTATACCTCTACCTGCACCAGGAAGGTGAGGCTACTGGGGGGTATACCTCTACCTCCACCAGGAAGGTGAGGCTACTGGGGGTATATACCTCTACCTCCACCAGGAAGGTGAGGCTACTGGGGGGGGGGGTATACCTCTACCTCCACCAGGAAGGTGAGGCTACTGGGGGTATACCTCTACCTGCACCAGGAAGGTGAGGCTACTGGGGGGTATACCTCTACCTGCACCAGGAAGGTGAGGCTACTGGGGGGTATACCTCTACCTGCACCAGGAAGGTGAGGCTACTGGGGGGTATACCTCTACCTCCACCAGGAAGGTGAGGCTACTGGGGGGGGGTATACCTCTACCTGCACCAGGAAGGTGAGGCTACTGGGGGGTATATACCTCTACCTGCACCAGGAAGGTGAGGCTACTGGAGGGGGGGGGGTATACCTCTACCTGCACCAGGAAGGTGAGGCTACTGGGGGGGGGTATACCTCTACCTCCACCAGGAAGGTGAGGCTACTGGGGGGGGGGGGTATACCTCTACCTGCACCAGGAAGGTGAGGCTACTGGGGGGGGGTATACCTCTACCTCCACCAGGAAGGTGAGGCTACTGGGGGGGTATACCTCTACCTCCACCAGGAAGGTGAGGCTACTGGAGGGGGGGTATACCTCTACCTGCACCAGGAAGGTGAGGCTACTGGGGGGGGTATACCTCTACCTCCACCAGGAAGGTGAGGCTACTGGGTGGGGGTATACCTCTACCTGCACCAGGAAGGTGAGGCTACTGGGGGGTATACCTCTACCTCCACCAGGAAGGTGAGGCTACTGGGGGGGGGGTATACCTCTACCTGCACCAGGAAGGTGAGGCTACTGGGGGGGTATACCTCTACCTCCACCAGGAAGGTGAGGCTACTGGGGGTATATACCTCTACCTCCACCAGGAAGGTGAGGCTACTGGAGGGGGGGGGGGGGTATACCTCTACCTCCACCAGGAAGGTGAGGCTACTGGGGGGGTATACCTCTACCTCCACCAGGAAGGTGAGGCTACTGGGGGGGTATACCTCTACCTGCACCAGGAAGGTGAGGCTACTGGAGGGGGGGGTATACCTCTACCTCCACCAGGAAGGTGAGGCTACTGGGGAGGTATACCTCTACCTCCACCAGGAAGGTGAGGCTACTGGAGGGGGGTATACCTCTACCTGCACCAGGAAGGTGAGGCTACTGGGGGTATACCTCTACCTGCACCAGGAAGGTGAGGCTACTGGGGGGGGGGGTATACCTCTACCTCCACCAGGAAGGTGAGGCTACTGGAGGGGGGGGGGTATACCTCTACCTGCACCAGGAAGGTGAGGCTACTGGGGGGTATACCTCTACCTGCACCAGGAAGGTGAGGCTACTGGAGGGGGGGGGGTATACCTCTACCTGCACCAGGAAGGTGAGGCTACTGGGGGGGCTATACCTCTACCTCCACCAGGAAGGTGAAGCTACTGGAGGGGGGTATACCTCTACCTGCACCAGGAAGGTGAGGCTACTGGGGGGGTATACCTCTACCTCCACCAGGAAGGTGAGGCTACTGGGGGGGGGGGTATACCTCTACCTCCACCAGGAAGGTGAGGCTACTGGGGGGTATACCTCTACCTCCACCAGGAAGGTGAGGCTACTGGGGGGTATACCTCTACCTCCACCAGGAAGGTGAGGCTACTGGAGGGGGGTATACCTCTACCTCCACCAGGAAGGTGAGGCTACTGGGGGGTATACCTCTACCTGCATCAGGAAGGTGAGGCTACTGGGGGGGGGGGGTATACCTCTACCTCCACCAGGAAGGTGAGGCTACTGGGGCTACCTCTACCTCCACCAGGAAGGTGAGGCTACTGGAGGGGGGTATACCTCTACCTCCACCAGGAAGGTGAGGCTACGGGGGGTATACCTCTACCTCCACCAGGAAGGTGAGGCTACTGGGGGGGTATACCTCTACCTCCACCAGGAAGGTGAGGCTACTGGGGGGTATACCTCTACCTCCACCAGGAAGGTGAGGCTACTGGGGGGGTATACCTCTACCTCCACCAGGAAGGTGAGGCTACTGGGGGGGTTATACCTCTACCTCCACCAGGAAGGTATACCTCTACGTTCACCAGGAAGGTAAGGCTACTGGGGCTATATACCTCTACGTTCACCAGGAAGGTAAGGCTACCGGGGCTATATACCTCTACGTTCACCAGGAAGGTAAGGTTACCGGGGCTATATACCTCTACGTTCACCAGGAAGGTAAGGCTACTGGGGCTATATACCTCTACGTTCACCAGGATGGTAAGGCTACCGGGGCTATATACCTCTACGTTCACCAGGAAGGTAAGGTTACCGGGGCTATATACCTCTACGTTCACCAGGAAGGTAAGGTTACCGGGGCTATATACCTCTACGTTCACCAGGAAGGTAAGGTTACCGGGGCTATATACCTCTACGTTCACCAGGAAGGTAAGGCTACTGGGGCTATATACCTCTACGTTCACCAGGAAGGTAAGGTTACCGGGGCTATATACCTCTACGTTCACCAGGAAGGTAAGGTTACCGGGGCTATATACCTCTACGTTCACCAGGAAGGTAAGGCTACTGGGGCTATATACCTCTACGTTCACCAGGAAGGTAAGGTTACCGGGGCTATATACCTCTACGTTCACCAGGAAGGTAAGGCTACTGGGGCTATATACCTCTACGTTCACCAGGAAGGTAAGGTTACCGGGGCTATATACCTCTACGTTCACCAGGAAGGTAAGGCTACTGGGGCTATATACCTCTACGTTCACCAGGAAGGTAAGGCTACCGGCGCTATATACCTCTACGTTCACCAGGAAGGTAAGGCTACTGGGGCTATATACCTCTACGTTCACCAGGAAGGTAAGGCTACCGGGGCTATATACCTCTACGTTCACCAGGAAGGTAAGGCTGCTGGGGCTATATACCTCTACGTTCACCAGGAAGGTAAGGTTACCGGGGCTATATACCTCTACGTTCACCAGGAAGGTAAGGTTACCGGGGCTATATACCTCTACGTTCACCAGGAAGGTAAGGTTACCGGGGCTATATACCTCTACGTTCACCAGGAAGGTAAGGCTACTGGGGCTATATACCTCTACGTTCACCAGGAAGGTAAGGCTACCGGGGCTATATACCTCTACGTTCACCAGGAAGGTAAGGCTACTATATACCTCTACGTTCACCAGGAAGCTATATACCTCTACGTTCACCAGGAAGGTAAGGCTACTGGGGCTATATACCTCTACGTTCACCAGGAAGGTAAGGTTACCGGGGCTATACCGGGGCTATATACCTCTACGTTCACCAGGAAGGTAAGGTACCGGGGCTATATACCTCTACGTTCACCAGGAAGGTAAGGTTACCGGGCTATATACCTCTACGTTCACCAGGAAGGTAAGGCTACTGGGGCTATATACCTCTACGTTCACCAGGAAGGTAAGGCTACCGGCGCTATATACCTCTACGTTCACCAGGAAGGTAAGGCTACTGGGGCTATATACCACTACGTTCACCAGGAAGATAAGGCTACCGGGGCTATATACCTCTACGTTCACCAGGAAGGTAAGGCTGCTGGGGCTATATACCTCTACGTTCACCAGGAAGGTAAGGTTACCGGGGCTATATACCTCTACGTTCACCAGGAAGGTAAGGTTACCGGGGCTATATACCTCTACGTTCACCAGGAAGGTAAGGTTACCGGGGCTATATACCTCTACGTTCACCAGGAAGGTAAGGCTACCGGGGCTATATACCTCTACGTTCACCAGGAAGGTAAGGTTACCGGGGCTATATACCTCTACGTTCACCAGGAAGGTAAGGTTTCCGGGGCTATATACCTCTACGCTCACCAGGAAGGTAAGGTTACCGGGGCTATATACCTCTACGTTCACCAGGAAGGTAAGGCTACCGGGGCTATATACCTCTACGTTCACCAGGAAGGTAAGGTTACCGGGGCTATATACCTCTACGTTCACCAGGAAGGTAAGGTTTCCGGGGCTATATACCTCTACGTTCACCAGGAAGGTAAGGTTACCGGGCTATATACCTCTACGTTCACCAGGAAGGTAAGGCTACCGGGGCTATATACCTCTACGTTCACCAGGAAGGTAAGGTTACCGGGGCTATATACCTCTACGTTCACCAGGAAGGTAAGGCTATCGAGGCTATATACCTCTAAACGAACAAATCCACAAGCGCAGTGACAAGGGTTCGAACAGACGCTGCCTTAATCGGCTGAGCTACGACATGGTAAAAGAATTGCAACCAGAAGTTCTACTGACCTTACTTAGACCCTGAAGCCTCTCCGAGACACAAACCAGGATTGTACACAACTCCCCCTGCACTCGAGCTCTGTGAATAGGCCGTTCTACCTCTTCGCCCTTACTTCATTACACACAGAAATCACAATAGCATGATGCATCAAATTAACAAATCCACAAGGGCCGTGACGAGTGCATGGGGGGAATTGCGTAAATCGTGGTTTGTGTCTCGGAGAGGCTTCAGGGTCCAAGTAAGGTCAGTAGAACTTCTGGTTGCAATTCTTTTACCATGTCGTAGCTCAGTCGATTAAGACAGCATCTGGGATGCTTTCGGACGAAGGTTCGAACCCACGTCACGCACCCTTGTGGATTTCTTCATTTTATGCATCACGCTATTGTGATTTTTGTGTGTATATACCTCTACATTCACCAGGAAGGTAAGGCTATTGGGAGTATATACCTCTATCTGCACCAGGAAGGTAAAGCTACTGTGGCTAAATACCTCTACCTGCAGCAGAATGTAAGGATACTGTGGTAATTTATGTAAAAAATTATTTAACTTTTTATTTATATACCTAAATTCCTTAAATTATGATAATATATAATTACATTAGTAGTATTGAATTCATTCCGTACTGATAGGTGACTGCATTGGTCTAGGTGATGTTCTGCTTAACACTGGACCTCACGTTTCGCAGTTAAAAAAGATTCACGGATTATAGACAACAAATTCTGATAATTCAGAATTGTTATGTTCGTCACCTATGTTAGACATAAGTGACGAATATAACAATTGTGATTATCACTTGGAGAAATGAACTAAATTGTTTGGTTAAAATGAATTAGATTTCATTAGTTAATTAAATGAAGGACACTATTGACATAAATTTACCCAAAAGTTCTCTGATGTGGAGCCCGTGCTCAGGGTAAAGTAATTTCCACAAAATATCAACCCACTCTCAAACCACCTGGATAACTATCTGTGATTAGTTATCCAGGTGGTCACAAATATTACAAATATCCAAGTAGTTATTCATGCACATGACTGTAGGCCCAAGATGCAGATTTTGCATCCGCATTTGCGTGTTATACACTCTCCTGAAGGGACGTACTGTTCATACAAGACACTTCCAACAGGTAAGGAATAAAAATACTATGATAAGAAAAAGAAATGTAAAGCTATCCATAGGCACAATGTTGTTGATGATTTCATATATACTGTAATTGACAAGTTAGACATTATATAATTATTATGTACAAAATATAATTCATAATAAGTACAAAGGACCCTGCGTGATATTGTACTACGTCGATATCTGTCAGGGTTTTTAAGCATTTTACGGATCCAATAATAGTCTACATGTGAACTGACAAGTGAATCTTTGTCCTGAACAGAGAATATTCTCAAGTTGTAACTTTTTTATATTTTAAATCGTTATCTTGAGATGGTTTCGTGGCTAAGTGTCCCCGCGGCCCGGTCCTCGACCAGGCCTCCACCCCCAGGAAGCAGCTCGTGACAGCTGACTAACTCCCAGGTACCTATTTAGTGCTAGGAATCAGGGGGCATCAAGGTGAAAGAAACGCTGCCCATTGTTTCTCGCTGGCGCCCGGGATCGAACCCGGGACCACAGGATCACACGTCCAGTGTTCTGTCCGCTCAGCCACCGGCTTCCCAAAAAATCGTTGATTTAAAATATAAAAAGTTTATCCTTAACTCACTTTCCTTGAAACGGTCTGAAGAATTAGATTTTCTGTAAATTAAATTTTAGAGGATTCTCAAATTGTTTTCGATTTTCATATATCACGTATGAGAATCAAACACTGCATTAATGTAACCTAAAATAATGAAACCTAACCTAGATCTGACATATTCTTAACCCTACCTAACAATGGATAGAGTAGATAATCCCACTAATTATGTAGTGGGTTTGAAGTGGTTACCTGTATGGTACCTTCTCCTTGACAATATGTTTCTGATACCATAGCCATTACATTAGGTTATTACTCCTAATCGTAATTCTTCGTTTACAAGCTTACTAGCTATTTAAAGGTGGCTTGACCATAAAGTAAATAAATGTTTTATAAATACGTGATATTTCAATTTATTAATATATGGTGCATAAATAAATTTATTTATTAGTATTAATGAATCTACTAAATCATTAATACTAATAAATAAATATATATTAATAAATTATGCTTGGCAACTCGAGTATATGCCAAGCTTCCAACTTCTAAACTAATCAGATAATGATTCGTTTATAGAAAAAAAGAGTTCGCGTTTATGATGCATGGCAACTAGACAAGCGTAGGTCAAAATCTGGCCAAAACATTTTGTTTCATAGCCTGTCAGATATTCCTCATGTTGAATTATCAAATATGTTGCGATGCATGGCCAAATTGGTGCAGATCATCAGTAATTCATGGAATATTTGAGTGAGTTGATTTTTTCCGGAATCCCAGAATTGTTGCTCCAAGAATTGCAATTACTTTAGGATTTAACAATCCCCATTTAATCGAGTTAACCTGTTAGATTTTGACATCAGGGAAGACAACGTTCAAGATAAATGTTTTTCAAGTACATACAAATTCTACTAGTAACGGATTTTTTAAATTAAATTCTGGTCCTTCGGAAATGGCCCAATTTGGGATTTTTGAAGAGTTAATTAAGCACTAATCGCAGACTATAATTTTCTCCACTACACACCTCTACCTGCACCAGGAACGTAATGCTACTGAGGACTATTTACCTTCACCAGGCACGTAAGTCTATCGGGGTTATATACCTTCACCAGGAAGGAGAGGGAACTGGGGTGTATGTATTTCAACCAGGAAGGTAAGACTACTAGGGCTATATTCCTCTACGAGGAAGGTAAAGCTATTGGGGATATATACGCCTGCTTCCACCAATAAGGCAAGAATACATTATGTTGCATGGATCACATCACTGTGTGTTGCATGGATTACTGATCACCACCTGTGTGTTGCATGGATTACTGATCACCACCTGTGTGTTACATGGATTACTGATCACCACCTGTGTGTTGCAGGGATTACTGATCACCACCTGTATGTTGCAGGGATTACTGATCACCACCTGTGTGTTGCAGGGATTACTGATCACCACCTGTGTGTTGCAGGGATTACTGATCACCACCTGTATGTTGCATGGATTACTGATCACCACCTGTATGTTGTAGGGATTACTGATCACCACCTGTGTGTTGCAGGGATTACTGATCACCACCTGTATGCTGTAGGGATTACTGATCACCACCTGTGTGTTGTAGGGATTACTGATCACCACCTGTGTGTTGCAGGGATTACTGATCACCACCTGTATGTTGCAGGGATTACTGATCACCACCTGTATGTTGCAGGGATTACTGATCACCACCTGTATGTTGCAGGGATTACTGATCACCACCTGTGTGTTACATGGATTACTGATCACCACCTGCGTGTTGCAGGGATTACTGATCACCACCTGTATGTTGCAGGGATTACTGATCACCACCTGTGTGTTGCAGGGATTACTGATCACCACCTGTGTGTTGCAGGGATTACTGATCACCACCTGTATGTTGCATGGATTACTGATCACCACCTGTATGTTGTAGGGATTACTGATCACCACCTGTGTGTTGCAGGGATAACTGATCACCACCTGTATGCTGTAGGGATTACTGATCACCACCTGTGTGTTGTAGGGATTACTGATCACCACCTGTGTGTTGCAGGGATTACTGATCACCACCTGTATGTTGTAGCGATTACTGATCACCACCTGTGTGTTGCAGGGATTACTGATCACCACCTGTGTGTTGCAGGGATTACTGATCACCACCTGTATGTTGCAGGGATTACTGATCACCACCTGTGTGTTACATGGATTACTGATCACCACCTGTGTGTTGCAGGGATTACTGATCACCACCTGTATGTTGCAGGGATTACTGATCACCACCTGTGTGTTGCAGGGATTACTGATCACCACCTGTGTGTTGCAGGGATTACTGATCACCACCTGTGTGTTGCAGGGATTACTGATCACCACCTGTATGTTGCATGGATTACTGATCACCACCTGTATGTTGTAGGGATTACTGATCACCACCTGTGTGTTGCAGGGATAACTGATCACCACCTGTATGCTGTAGGGATTACTGATCACCACCTGTGTGTTGTAGGGATTACTGATCACCACCTGTGTGTTGCAGGGATTACTGATCACCACCTGTATGTTGTAGCGATTACTGATCACCACCTGTGTGTTGCAGGGATTACTGATCACCACCTGTGTGTTGCAGGGATTACTGCTCACCACCTGTATGTTGCAGGGATTACTGATCACCACCTGTGTGTTGCAGGGATTACTGATCACCACCTGTGTGTTGCAGGGATTACTGATCACCACCTGTATGTTGCAGGGATTACTGATCACCACCTGTATGTTGCAGGGATTACTGATCACCACCTGTATGTTGCAGGGATTACTGATCATCACCTGTGTGTTGCAGGGATTACTGATCACCACCTGTATGTTGCAGGGATTACTGATCACCACCTGTGTGTTGCAGGGATTACTGATCACCACCTGTGTGTTGCAGGGATTACTGATCACCACCTGTATGTTGCAGGGATTACTGATCACCACCTGTATGTTGCAGGGATTACTGATCACCACCTGTATGTTGCAGGGATTACTGATCATCACCTGTGTGTTGCAGGGATTACTGATCACCACCTGTATGTTGCAGGGATTACTGATCACCACCTGTGTGTTGCAGGGATTACTGATCACCACCTGTATGTTGCAGGGATTGATGGTCACTCCTTCTGGGTGGGTGGCTCCGACGCGGCGACGGAGGGCGTCTGGACATGGAGGGACGGACAGCCCGTCACTATGGGTACGTCGCTTTCCTTCACCTTTTTCCTCACACTCTTTGGAAGTACAACCATTCATGACCAATAATAATAAAGTTATAAATATTAGTCAAAAAGAAGACTCAAGGGAGAACAATAAACTTTATTTTTAGTACGTCAGAACTAAATAATTGTTCTGGGTAAGTGTCTTCGTTCTCTTTGGCAAAGTTAAATACCTCTTCTCTCTTTTGTTAAGTAATTTTTCGTTGTTAATACACGTAATCATAACAAATGAGTCTACCTCGAGCAACAGTTGTAAGCACACACTAGACTGGGTGATCGTTAGTCCTAGTGTGATTCATACCAGTACAGTATTTCAGATTTCCACTGAAGACTCATGGGAGTAGGAATCAGGTCCATGTGGTGTTCACGCTTTTGGAGAACACGCAGTTGTCTAGGAACTCTGGCAGATCACGATGATACAAGAGTTCTCTGTGCTCGATGATACACATTATATCCCTTGTGTTGAGGTGCACACGGACACCTTGTTGACGTGTTCTCAGAGAAAGTGTGTTAAGACTGGTTTTCTGTTGAGAATGAACACTTTCACATCACTGCCTAAATACAGCAGCAATAAAAGAATGTGCCTTAATACTAGTAGTGAGTGTCCTGATATATTTAAGCAGTGTTGTCGATGTGTATGTCAACTGCCCTTTCATTCCAGTTGGAAGCAGGTTGACGAAGAGTTTAATGGATAAAGGAGGGTTCTAGTCAGTAATGGATAAGCTAACGGGTATCTTAAAGAGATGGTGAGTCACCAAGCTACATCTTATGAAACGGTCAACAATACATTATCTGCCCCTCCTGTTAAAATATTCTACAAGAACTTCTGTTTTTATGGATTACAAAATGGAAGAAAGAGTCGTGTAAGACGTTATTGATAGAAACGTGACTCTTCCAACACCAACCAGAAGATTGAGTTAATAATATACTATAAAAGCAAGAAGACCGTCAACTTACTCACGAAGAGCTCTCCCGACACCAAACGAAGTGCCTTGAAAGAGACTGATGTCGTGTATGCCTTCACATGCCCATTTGGGGACTATCAGTCCCAATGATCTCAGTATATAGGCAAGACAACATCTTTTTTCAAGGTACTTAGCAATTAATAAGCAGAAAGAACCCAGTAAGGAACAAATGATAGTTACACAATTAATGCATACCTATATCTATAGACAGTCTTCTGACAACCAACACTAAAGTAATCGACAGGTGCAACAGCAATAGAAGATTAAACATCAACGAAGCACTACATATCAAGCAAACTTAACCAACTATCCGTGGGAAAAACCTGCTGGGATTGATATGAGAGGAGACCTACCAGGGACTTGTACTGAACTAAATTCAAATTTACTGTCTGCAAATAAATTCAACTAAAGTCTCTAGCTAGGGTCGTAAATCCTAGCTCCTCTTTTCCTAATGACAGATAAGGGGCTGTAAGGGGCAGGTGGGGTGAATTAGTTGATAGGTTGATTGAAGATCCACAGTCCACCTGCCGACAGGTATCTCACATCAGCTTGTATTTTATACAAGGATAAGATTTAATTAATTCAGTTCTATGACTGAAGACTGGTTCTGTTTAAATCAGAGATTCAAACATGTACATAGTCTAGCCTATTACAATAACTATCAACAGCCAATATAATCTTATACTATAAACAACAATTTAAATTGTAGAAGTATGATACACCTTAAATGTAGTCTAAGTACTGTTAACTAAGTACTAGAAATTATATTCAATTAAATGAACTTATATAATAAATTAAAGATAACTAAGCAAACAATTGTTAACTTAATTATATATTCAAGTATATACCTTGAGGTTACCTTGAGGTGCTTCCGGGGCTTAGTGTCCCCGCGGCCCGGTCGTCGACCAGGCCTCCTGGTTGCTGGACTGATCAACCAGGCTGTTAGACGCGGCTGCTCGCAGCCTGACGTATGAGTCACAGCCTGGTTGATCAGGTATTCTTTGGAGGTGCTTATCCAGTTCTCTCTTGAACACTGTGAGGGGTTTGCCAGTTATGCCAGTTATATATGCAGATATTCAATTTATATGAAAAGGTTCAGTCAGCCTGATTGAATCTTTTCCCACACAATGAAACCTCATAAGGTTTTGCTTACTGTGACTGAATCTTTTTTCACACAAGGGATACTCATGAGGTTTTGTGCTTGGAAAAATTCAACTGCTGCACTGCAATATTAATAAACTTACTGAAATATGAGGCGTTGCCTTGCTCTATAACTGACAGACCAACTTATTTAATATATTAAAGTTACACAAGCATACAATTGGCCAATTAATATACTAAATAACATCAATATACTTCTCTGACTGCCGGGGTGCCTGTCTGACAGTGTGCCAGACTAGATAACTCTCTTGTCACGAGTTTAGGCACGATATTTTATATCACATTTTATTTTATAGGCCACTCCACGAGCGATACTAGGGTAGCGCCCTAGTCAGGAGCCTCGTGTGATACCACAGATCACTCTCCTGTCCAGAATACCCCAGTGGTCAATCGTCTCCAGCAGTCGGTCCCGGGTACGACAATCCTCAACTGCCACTTCACTGGCAGGGTAACACCACAGTGTTCCTCCGGGAGGCGACTCACAGCTGCTGCAGCAAAGCACTTGGTATGGGGACGGCTGCCTTGGGTAGACTGACTCAACTTCCCTTACAGCAGTCCCAGGTCGACTCTGTAAGCTTACACGTCATCAATAACAGGGACACACTAAAGCACCTCACTTACAGGCTCAGACACAAACGCCCGACGTATCCACTCCATAGATGGCGTTGTCGTCTGAGCACCACCTCACCAGAGGTCAGCAGCGGCGGTGTTGTGAGCTGCACAGGACTGGAAACTGGCCCTTGTGGCCGGTACACTTCGTCCTCACCAGGTGTCGTCGTCCATTTGGAGGGGGTTTAGGGAGCTGACCCACAGATGGCGCGGTCGTCACTGCTCCGTGCTCGGACGCTGGATTCGGGTCCGTAACACCTCCCCACCAAAAAGAATTTGGTTTGGGTTTCTATAAAAGAAAAGACAAGCCAAATTAGTACGTGGATACAACTCCACACAGACTCACGTACACTATGAACTGGAGTGATGAGGCTGTCTTGTCCACAGAACTGTTCTAAGGAGACACCCTGGCACAAAGGGAACTTGAAAATGTTAGGCAATGGCTTGCCTGTTGCAATCGTCCACATCTCCACTGCGATGTCAAGCAGGGGCATATTCTCACATTTCTCGAGTAAGGATCGGTGTAGACACAATGTGGGGCGACTTGACACTTCCCTGTGTCGTGGCACCGATGATGGCTGATCACAGACGGCATTTCTGGTACCGGTCCGACGGTCCTTCAGGGAGACAGGAACCTGGAATACAGGGGTCTGATAATTCAGAATGACAGCGACAGTGGGCAAGTCAGTACTTACTACACATTCGCCTACTAGGCCCACACCTAGTTCCAACAGAGCTGCTTGCACACCGTAGATGATGTCTGCTCTGCCACCGTCCGGTCGACCAACGTTCCGTATAACGCTGAATCCAGGCTCAGCAATCACGCGGGGGGTGTCAACCTGTCGGAAACAGTCACTCATATTATCATATGTCGTACCTCCTGTATCAACCATCACCTTCCAGGTTCCTTCTTCGACTGCAACACTCACTGTGCACGTCTCCAATCCCTGGGACCTCTTCTCGATGTTCAAGGGAGCCATCATCCTTCGGGTCGTCCACTGATCCTTACTGAGGACACACATAAGAATACAACAAAACACCGCTAAGAAACATTTGGCTACCTTAGGGACAAGTTTCATGAGCTTGTTATGTCCATAGCCGGCAATATCCACTAGCCTGGTTTGGACTGAAGAGGGCTCTAGAACCTTTGCACATACCTTACATACCTCTGACGTCTGGGGAATCTCTGGGCGGTTCAATGAACGCTGTACCTTGCCATACCGCAAGTACACATCCTCCTTCGCTCCAGACTCGTTTGTATCCGTGGGTAACTGCACACAAGGCCTCTCTTCTTGCTCAGGTACTTCTGCCATCGTAACCTCATGTTCCTTGTCGAGAGAATCAGGAGACTGCTAGAATATTGTCGATCTGCGGGTGAGAGGACAAATTAAACATGTTTAAATCCGGGTCTGTCTTTACCTGGACATTACCACTGCCTGTTGTTACCTCAGACCTTGCTGTTCTGGCCGACTCGTCCGCGACCTTGGGATGATTGTTGCTCCAATCTGTCACCAAGTCGTTGGCTAGTACCACGTCAATCCCTGCTATGGGGAGGGTATCGACTACTGCCAACGCACATGTGCCGCTGAAGTAAGGCGAGTCGAGATGTACTGGCACTAAGGGGGCGATATACAGCGTCCTAGGAAACCCAACCAGGACAACCTTTGGTCTCCCAACCACACTCACTCCCTCGGGTAACGAGCTTCTCACGATCAGGGACTGGGCTGCTCCACTATCTCTGAGCACTACAACTGATCTACCAGTATGATCACTCGATACATACCCGCCTGAAGTGTGAGGGGAAAACAAACTTGGTCCTTCCTGCGTCGTCGTCGACTGGCTTCCTGCTGGTGGTGTAACACAGCTCATCATCATCACCTCCCTACGTGCGCCGCCACCTCTTCTGCCTCGGCACATAGCAGCTACATGCCCTTTCTGCCCACAAGTCCAGCACACCATATTCCTCCTTGGACTACGGTGTTTCGGACTGCTAGGACTCGTCCTTCGAGGGCTACTTGGGGGCGTCTTCTTAGCGCTTTGTGGGACGGGTCTTTCCTCTTCGTCATGAGGTCTGTCAAACCGGCGCTGGTAATTCCTCGGGACGTACTTAGCAGACGGCCTATGAGTCAGGATGTATTCCTCAGCCATGGTGGCTGCCGCACTCAAGGTCTCTACCTGCTGTTCCTCTAAGTACGTCTTTAGGTCTCCAGACAAACAATCTTTGAAGTCCTCTAGCAGTATGAGCTGCTCGAGGTCTTCTTTAGTCTCCACCTTCCGAGAGGCACACCATTCCTGAAAAAGTCGCTCCTTGATGGTGGCGAATTCGGTGAAAGTGTGCTCTGAGGTCTTCTTCAGGTTTCTGAACTTTTGCCTGTAAGCCTCAGGTACAAATTGGTACGCCATGAGCACGACCTTCTTCACCTTGTTGTAATCGCCGGAGTCGTCAAGGGATAACATGGAGTAGGCGATTTGGGCCTTCCCAATCAAGACTGACTGTATCATGATGGCCCAATTCTCCCTTGGCCACTCCAAAGAGGCAGTGACTTTCTCGAAGGCTGCGAAGAACTTTGAAACTTCCTTCTCGTTGAATTTGGGGACCATTTTGATGTTCCTTACCGGATCGAAACTGCTGGCTTTCGTCGTTGGCCTCCGACCACCTAACCGTAATACTTCTAGCTCATGTTGTCTCTCTCTTTCCTCTCTGTCTCGTCGTTCTTGTCTGTCTCATTCTTCTCTTTCTCTCTCTCATTCTTCTCTTCTTTCTTCTCTTTCTCTCTCTTCTCTTTCTCGTTTCTCTTCTCTTTCTAATTCTAAACGCCTTATCTCTAATTCTTTTCTTAATCTCTCTCTTTCCATTTCTTGTCTTTCTCTTTCCATTTCTAATTTCTTATCTTCTCTCTTTCTCGCTTCCTCGTCTCTTTCTTTAGCGATTTCTAGTTTCTTCCATTCTATTTCTCGATGGATCTCTAGTTCACGCATTTTCACAGTAAGCACACTTATATTTAATTCACTCTCATCACTTTCGATATCACTGCTCTTACCTTCCTGTTCAGTGGAAGCTATTTCCTCACCTTCCTTTATACTAGGAGTCTCGCCTTCCTGTTTCTCTTCTGCCTTCAAATGCCGGTGAACCTTGGACAAGATCTCCACACGGGAATCACTGGCACGGATCTTAATCTCCGGGTAGGCGCTCACTAGTACAAGTTCCGGTTTGCTCAGATATTTTAATCTGGCAAGACAGTCCTCTCTGTTCAGAAAAGCCTGAACATCGTCCAGATCATCGATGGTAGCTTTTTCTGCCATTGTCACAAACGGAACACTGAACTAGCACTTAACACACCGCTTTCACGTTAGCACTTAACGCACCGAGCACTGTTCTACGCCAATATTGCACTTTATCGCACCTGGCACCTCACTTGCCAATATTGCACGTAATTACTTCGGGCACCGCACTACACAATATTGCACTGAATCCCAGCGAACACTTCGCTCTACAATATTGCACTGAATCACGCCGAGCACCGCACTACACAATATTGCGCTTAATTGCTTAATCACAGCGAGCACCGCACTGCACAATATCGCACTTAGTCACTGAGCACCGCACGGGACGTATAACGTCCCATCGTAACACACAGGGGGAATTATATACAGGGATTACGCCACTTCACCACCCCTGTCAAACATACTTAACAAGGGGACGGATCCCACTGGGGATGCCAATTATGTTACGGCCCTCTCGGGTCGCAACTGGGTTCGTACTCTGATGTTATTAGAGGAAGGGTATCCGGCCCCAGCCAGTAGTGGCTTTCAAGGGATGAGATCCGTGACGCAAGTAAAATAAAAGGGGAAGGGAAAGAAAGGCAAAAACTTAAGATTATAATTACCTTCACCAATAAGTAATATATAAAAGTTACACAGGGGGAGGGGTTTTAACACTGTACAGGGGAAGTATATACACGGTCGTCTTCTCCTGAAGACGCTGGATCCTTTCAGTGCCAAGTCCTCGGTGCTCTCGTGGTCTCTTGACGAATCCTTCGATCAAGCTGAGTCTACCCCGGAAACAGGCCAGCCAAAACACAGTTCCACTGGGGCACCGCCGTGGAGGCCGTCAACCACAAGTCCAGCAAGCTGCTGGCAGGTTCCAGATCAGCAACGCTGTTCAGGCCACTCCACGAGCGATACTAGGGTAGCGCCCTAGTCAGGAGCCTCGTGTGATACCACAGATCACTCTCCTGTCCAGAATACCCCAGTGGTCAATCGTCTCCAGCAGTCGGTCCCGGGTACGACAATCCTTCAACTGCCACTTCACTGGCAGGGTAACACCACAGTGTTCCTCCGGGAGGCGACTCACAGCTGCTGCAGCAAAGCACATGGTATGGGGACGGCTGCCTTGGGTAGACTGACTCAACTTCCCTTACAGCAGTCCCAGGTCGACTCTGTAAGCAGACACGTCATCAATAACAGGGACACACTAAAGCACCTCACTTACAGGCTCAGACACAAACGCCCGACGTATCCACTCCATAGATGGCGTTGTCGTCTGAGCACCACCTCACCAGAGGTCAGCAGCGGCGGTGTTGTGAGCTGCACAGGACTGGAAACTGGCCCTTGTGGCCGGTACACTTCATCCTCACCAGGTGTCGTCGTCCATTTGGAGAGGGTTTAGGGAGCTGACCCACAGATGGCGCGGTCGTCACTGCTCCATGCTCGGACGCTGGATTCGGGTCCGTAACAGCTTTGCTGTATGATGTACTAGTAGCGTAGCTACGTGATTGTCCTTAATTGCAGTTGCAGAAAGATGAGGTTGGAGGTGGAGACAGTGTCACTGTGTGCTCCACTATACACTCTTATTTGATATAAATGTTCTAGGAATTTTCCTTGTAGATATTCTCCAGGTACTCCCCCAGTTCTAGAGAGTAATCACTGGTGATAAAGATAATTCGATCAGGTGTCTTAAGCTAAGTAATGTTCGCAATCCACTATAACACTTGTTCACTCTTTTGTCAACAAACGTGTTCTTCCGGGGCGTCCCAGTCGGTCGCCTTGTTCCCGAGATGCCCCTCCCTCTCCCTTGAGGGGGGTAGCTTTCAATGAATATTGATTGATTTTTTTTACTGTCTAGACATATGATTGAGATAAAATGTGATTATATTATAATTAGATATAGGATTTAAAGATTATAAGTAGTACTTGATAATACCACTGATTCTTATTAAGGATTTGATTTATAATCCCTACTGGATATCGAATCATGTTCCAAAAGTTTTTCAAATAAGAATCCTTCTAGAAGCTTCTGGATCCTTGAGATATCATGCACAAAGTCACGTAGGCATCTATAGGGCCCCTATGCTGTACGTGATCCTAGTGGCATTGTCATCTAGGATCAAGATGTATAATGAATCTATAGTGATTCTGATATGATTTTCCCACACTATCAACAGCCTTCTACCATCTGCCAGGCCAAGACAGAACATTCATCAAACTGCCCTGCCAGCATAAGAAGTTAGGAAACTGATTAATGCCTATTAGCCCATGCGATACCTTCACCTCACTCATGGTTTTAAATTGAGTTGTTACAGTCAAATTGTATCCAATTCTACTCTTAGTAACAGGAAAACTAAAAATATAACATGAATTTGGCAGAGTTAATTTTTCAGCTTTCTTCTCAAGTTAAGAGCATAAGAAATATAGAAAAAGAATTGTGTTAGAATCGTTGATTTATACTCATTATTTTGATCAAGCTATAGAATCATTATTTTGGCCAATCTATAGGCTCGGTGAGTTAATAGTTGCTAAATATTTTTTTTAAATTTTCTGAAAATTCCACAATAGTGCAGGAATCCCCCCCCCCTCCCCCCAAAAAAATCACAGCCTATATTTTATAGAATATTGCTTTAACTGATACATTTATTCATACATACATTACATACGAATGCACATTTATAAATGTATGTTTTTATATATATGACTTGCACTTTATGATGTATAAATCGATCAATGTTACGATGTGAAAGTTATTATTCTCAATGGAAGACTTCCACTGACTCAGAAACCCACATGTAAAGTAAGGTAATTATCAGGAGAAGCGCTAAGCAAGTGTAACTAATGTAGCATTTTAAAACACACCTGTAAAGAACACATAGATCACAAATCTTCTTGGAAGCACTTACATTACTGAGCATAATTTATAATTGTATTGTATTCTGTTGGACATGTTCTACTCTGTAATACTTTTGTCTCTCCAGGGTCGCCTTTCTGGGGTTTTCAGAAAGCTAGCCTGTTGGAACCAGACGGCGGTACAGCCGAGAACTGTCTCCTGCTGAAGGCAAATGGCGCCCACTACTTTCGTGATGCTTCCTGTAGCCTGCTGATGACCCCACTGTGTATGACTCCCAAGTAGCCTGCTAATGCCCATGGCCATCCAAGTAAAATTGCCAACTTACCCTTGAAAATGAATCCTGAACGTTTATGGGGCCTGTCACACTAGGTTATATACAGTATGCCATTTGTGGAGGAAGACTTTAGTACGTCTCTTTCCCAGACTTGCACTTTTGAGGGAGACGGGAGGACATTGTTATGTTAGTATTTGGAGAAGCCTAAAGCTGTTTTGAAAATGAGATTGTAATTACCTGTGAAATTCGAAAACTATTTGAGTATCACTTAGAAAATCATATTTAAGAATACCTACATTTAGGGTCATATCATTGAAAAAAGATTTACTATAGACTTTTATATTTTGAAATATATATAATACAATTTATAATACAAAATCTGTATTACAAAATTCGATTTATAAGACAAAATTTGAGAATATTCTCGGTTTAGGACAAAGGTTAACTTGCCACTTTACAAGTAGACTATTATTGGAACTGTAATATGCTTTCAGACCATCATAATTAGTTCCACAACTATCCAGGTGGTGTGAGAGTGGGGATAGAATCTCTATGTAATCACTTTACTCTGTGAATGGGCTGGAATACATCCAGACACCAACTGGATAATTGAAGTCTCTCACACCGCCTGGATATTTATCCAGATATTTGTGATCGCCTGAAAGCATATTACACTTCCAACATTGGACTTCTTGTAAACTGGAAAGGGAATCTCTGTCCCAAATTAAGAATATTCTCAGATTTTGTATAATAACTCGATGGTTTATGTGACTGGTTGTTGTATTGCAGCTATACTGAACCAAGGTGGTATGGCTTTCTGTTACATAAATAAATAAAATAAAATAAAAATGCTGCTTTGGCCTTTACAGTGTGTAAGTCACAGGTAGAAACAAATGAAACTCATCAAGTAAATAATTAAAACAATTTACTGAAATATTAATGAACAAAAATGGCACCTGAGAACACTTGGCTCTTATTATAGAACAAATAAAATAAGTAAATGAATATTTAAATCTAATACAATACAAGAGTATACTGGTGTGCTGAAGATAACTACCATACCACCACAGCATCCAGCACACGACATAGTCTGAGCGCAGACGACGTTGTAGGAGGCTAAGGTGATCCAGGAGCACTAAGAGAGAGACTGACTCCATAGGGAGGCAGTGCCCTTTATATAGTCTGGCGGTGAGGACTCATAGGCGGTGTCAACGCAAGGTGGTAACAAGCGCTCAGAGCAAACTGCTAGTTTGTGGTTGGTGGCGCCTTTGTGTTGAGAATGCACCACTGTCAGTTGAAGGCGGCTAACTGCTTGTTTGTAAAGGGAAACTACCGGTTAGCTGAGGCACTCACCTCGCCCCCGAGTCGTACCAGGCTCTGCCAGGCCCTGGGGGGGGGGGGTACAGAGAGGTGGCAGGACTGATGACTCATCTGGGCTGGTGTACATGTATACTTCCAGTTCAGAGGCATTGAAGGTGAAGGGAAAAAGCAGTTCCACTGCTATGCAGGGGATTCACGTGACAGCTCCTCCCCGAAGCCTTTTCCTAATGCCTGAGATGTCGATGCTGGAAGGAGTGTGGAAGCAGAAGGTTCCACTTCATGAACACGTGATAGTGCGTCCACAACTATGTTGTCTGATCCTTTGATGTAGATGATTTGGACGTTGTAGTTTTGTAGGTACGAGGCCCAACGAAGTAGACGCTGGTTGGAGAATTGTGCTTGCTGTAGTAAACGGAGAGGATTATGATCGGAATAGATGCTGATGGGTTGGTGTCCTTGACGGTAAGGTTCATATCGTTGCAAGCATAGGACGATGGCGAGTAGCTCCTTTTCTATTGTGCTGTGATCTGATCCAACAGGTCAGCTGACTGGTAGGACTTCCCCCTGTCTTTGCTGCATCATGACACCCCCAATGCCGGTGCTGCTGGCATCAACATTAAGGATGAAGGGTTGTTTCACATCTGGAGAGGCGAGAATAGGGTTAGTACACAGCAAAGTTTTCAATTGTTCGAAGGCAATGGATTGTGAGTTGGTCCGAATGTATTTCCTTTTAGGGCTGGTAAGAATGATTAAAGGTGTGGCAACTATGCTAAAGTTCTTGCAGAACCTACGGTAGTAAGACGCTAGTCCCAAGAATCTCATAAGTTGTTCACGAGAAGTTGGCTGTGGATATTTTTGGATGCCTTGAAGATGCATGTCTAAAGGTGCTAAGCTTCCACTGGTATTGACATGACCAAGGTATTGTACTTTACCTTTTAGTAAACGTGGACTTGTCCAAATTAATGGTGAGACAAGCCTGGAGAAGCTTGTAGAATAGTCGTTGTAGTCGGTCAAGATGTTCTTCCCACGAGTATGTCGTCCAGGAAGGCATAGGTGTCGTCAAGATTTTGGATGACAAGGTTGACAGCTCGTTTGAAAGTAGCTGGGACTTTGCAAAGTCCAAAAGGTAACCGTTCATACCTGAAAAGGCCAAAAGGAATGGTAAAAGCTGAGATATCTTTAGTACGCTCAGAGATTCGTATATGATAATATCCCCTTTAAGAGGTCTATTTGGGACAAAAAGATGGCGTTATCTATTGCATCTAAGATACCGTCGATGCGAGGTAAGGGTAATAATCTTTAAAGGTAACTGCATTTAACTTCCTGCAATCAGTGCACAGTCTTACCTTGCCATGAGGTTTAGGAACCAGTATTCATGGGGAAGCCCAAGGAGACTCACAAGGTGTAGCTAATCCATAGCTGAGGAGGTACTTTACGCCTGCGAACATGGCTTCTCTCTTCTGTAGACTGATGCGGTAGTAAGGTTGACGGATGGGCATCGTATCAGGAAGCAGCTGGATGTCATGTTGCACTAAAGTACATTCCTGTGGAGTGTCTTGAAACGGTTTTTTTATGGGTAGAGAGTAATTTAATCAAAGGGGCACTATTATTAGAATGTTCTAGGTATTGGGAAGATCTTTTAAGATCTCACTGTTAGACTTCATGGTCTCGATGGTATTTTTACACTCAGATGGAGAGGTAGCATGGTATGTATCACTGTTGGGATACCTCTCGGTAAAAGCGGATACAGATACTAACACTGGTGGCGGATTACCTTGATAACTCTTGAGCAGGTTGACGTGGCAGAGTTGTCTTGCGACGCCGGTCCGGAGTTTCTATAATGTAATTGTTGTTGTTCTTGCATTCTTTGATGCGATAAGGTCCTGAAAATTTACTTTTAAATGGAGAGGTTGGGATAGGAAAATAGGCTAGAACAAAGTCTCCTACATTAAACTTTCTTACCTTAGTGTTCTTGTCAAAGTGTGCTTTCATCTTATGTTGGGAGGTCAGTAAATTAGCACTAGCAAACTTATGTAATTGTTCAAGTTTATGTCTCAAGTTTTTAAGAAACTGAGGCACATTAAGGGAATCACTGAAGGTGGTTGACGTAAAGGAATCTTTAAAAACTTTAAGAGAACCCCGGCTCTTACGTCCACTTACCGTAGTATCATAAGGAGATACTCCAAGGGGCTTTTTAGGAAGACTTCTGAAAATGCACCTAAGGAGATCTAATTGCTTATCCCAATCTTTCTCACTATCAATACAAAATTTCTTGAATAGAGACTTAATAGTTTGATGGCTACGTTGTAGAGATCTCTGTGAGGCAAGATGATAGGGACTGGATAAGATACTGTTCACGTGCTCGTTCTAGTTCATCTTTTTGAACGTGGAGCCGGAATTGTTCTTGTTCACGCGCACGTTGTAGTTCAGCTTCTTGTTGTTGTAGCTAGCGTTGTTCTCGTTCACGTTCACGGGCTAATTCAGCCTCTTGTTGTCTCATCTCCCGTTTGCATTCATCGACAGCAGCTTCCAGTTGGGATAATTCGAACTTCAGTTTCATGTGTGTGAGTGTGGTCTTACCAGCAACTCTATGTTGGTCCTGCTGCTCTGGAGTAATAAGATCATTGTCTGCAAGATGGTCTAGAATCCGGTTATGAAGTTCATCTTTGGTGACCCCACGGGGAGGAGTGATGTTATACTCAGTGGTGAGAGTTATTAATTCTGCTCTAGTAGCACGAATTAATGTGTGCAGCTCCTCCTCCTGGTTGGCACGGAATGGTGCTAACCTAAACATATTGAATGTTATATAAAGACAAAATATTAACGGGAGAAAATGGGAGTACCCTGTAGACAAACCAATCAGTGAGGATTAATAGACGGCCTTGTAAGTGATGTGGCAATATGCACGAGAATTGTTGTTGGTAATACAACTGGCAACACTGTACGTAAGTAATTATCTTGTAGGGCAACAATAATTTTACAAGATAAATTACTGTACAATACATGATAACCTGAAATAAAACTGTCTTTGACTTTAGTAAAAATTTGGAGAAACAATATAAATGAATGTTTCGAGGTAGTAAAATATAAAGAGGATGTAGGGATGTCTGTACCCTGTACTCTAGTGAGGATAAGGGCAAGAGTTGCCCTACTGGAATCTAGATAATTAACTGCAGAGATACCTTTCCTTGTTCTAGGAATAATTTTCCAACAATCACTCACTCACAGAGCATTCCTTGTGCTCTGTAAAAGAATAGTAAGCTCCCTACCTGAGCAGTTATTCATGAACTTTGAACGAAGGCTTAGAGGGTGGAGGGAGTGTCACCACTGTGACGAGAACGGCTGTACACCTCCCGAAAGTATAACACAGTTTCTGATGCGAAAGGATCTCTAGTCCAATATTTCCTCCTAAGTTCGTAATAGAAAGTGGAACATACTACTTCGAAGACAAATCAAAGCACCAGATAAATACCCGAGGGGGTGATCTGCCTGAGTGAGTCCTTTCTGTTGGGACAAAATTAACGTAGACAAAAAAGATATAGCAATAGCTTAGAAGACTAACCATCACGAGCATGAATTTGCGCATAAAACATCATGTAATCAGAGTCAATGTAATAAACAGATCACAAATTGCTACACCTGTAAAGTAGATTTGTTCAGTTACCAGGATGTAAATCTCAAGATGAATCCTAAAAAAAATGCAAAGTATAAAAGCCAAGTATAACAACTAAACACAACATTAAGCAAAGGTTGCTAGGAACAGCTCCTAAGACAGCTCCTTGGACAGCTCCTTGGACAGCTCCTTGGACAGCTGCTTGGATAGCTCCTTGGACAGCTCCTTGGACAGCTCCTTGGACAGCTCCTTGGACAGCTCCTTGGACAGGCCCCCAAATCTTAGTGGCAGGTTGTGGTATTGCAGCTATACTGAACCAACGTGAATGACTCTCTGTCACACAAGATAAAAAAAATATTGTTTTGGCCCTTGCAGTCTGTAAGTCGCAGTGTGTACGGTAGACCCAAAAGAAAATCAATTAAATAAATAAAACAATTGACTGATATATTAATGAACAAAATTCACACCTGAGAATGCTTGGCGATCATATCTTTCAAAGGTGAACAAAATAAAATGATAAATGTTACATATATGAACTGTGCAAGAGTAGTGAAATATACGCCTAGACCCGCGCGCACCACCTGCCAGGTGGCACTCAGGTGAGTGTCGCCTGACAGGTGGCGCGCGTGTGTCTAGTCGCAAGGGTTTTTGGGGAATTTCCGGGAAGTTTGGTGCGTTTCGGACGCATGTGAGCGTCCTGTGTTAGGGTATGTGGACAGGAAAGAGGTTATATTGTTGTGTGCCAGCTGGACAGGTGTTGCGCGTCGCTCTAGTCGCTGCGCGTGGCTCCAGTCGCTGCGCAGGTGTCTAGTCGCACAGGGTTTTGGGGGGAATTTTCCCGGAAGTTTGGCGCGTGTCGGACGCGGTCTTGAGTGGTGGGTGAGCAGGTGTATCGCGTCGCTCTAGTCGCAGCGCGTCGCTCTAGTCGCAGCGCGTCGCTCTAGTCACAAAGGGAATTTCTGGGAAGACGTATGAAAATACAAGGATAAGAGTGGAATATGAGGAAGGAGTAAATGAATATGTATGTGTGTTTGTCATAGACTTAATCCTGAGTGAGGATAATAGTTTGATGATCGTAAGTAGAGGTTGAGGGGGTCCAACATAGTGGATATGTTGTTTGGGGAGGGGGGAGGGAGAGGAGAACCCCCCATACCTGAGAGGAACGCCTGGACGTCCATTAGCTTTCCCCTACAGGAAGTCGTAAGTGGGAGAGGAGGGTAAGAGAGCGAGAGAGCACCCTCCTGCGGAAGTGGGCCATTCCCTTAAAGGGATTTCGTTGTCTTAAGACCAGACTTGGAGCTGTTCATCCCACGGCGGGTCCCCATACACTGCGATTCCGGTAAGGAGGGGAGCGAGGTACATACAACAGACCCACACCTGCCAACCATCAATGACATACTTAACATAATAGATACCCTTAAAAAGATTCATAGAAAACACCGACCTTACCTAACCTACTTAGTATGTTAAGATAAGCATCTTATTGCTTCGTAATTACAATTATTACCTAACCTATAATAGGTATAGGGTAAGTGTGTCTACAAACCTTGACCCTGAACCCAGCTCTCGTCCCTCCTCCTCCACATCCCACAACTCTAAACTAAGTTCACACAAAGCGCTCCCCTTACCATCAACCATTGTTCCGTGCAATCCCCCTTTAGTATTATTCCTGTTAATATGTGTAAGCTATATCGTAACGTGACCAACATGGTGAGAGCAATAAACGAGGGAAAAGTAAACACATTATATATAAATTTATATCTTTATTAAACACTTAAGCGATTTACAACGATAATAATAATAATAATAATAATAATAATAATAATAATAAGACTTCTTCTTGGTGGTTTAGCTAGCAGACAGATTGAGAAAGGCTTTCATTCAGTCCATCGAACCTTCCCACCACGCTAGTCAACCAGTCAGTCTGTAGAAAGGGTTTAGGTAGTAGACAGACCGATTGGGAGTCATTCATCCACTCCAACGAACCTTCCCAACACGCTAGTCAATCAGTCAATCTGTAGAAAGGGGAAAAGGTTATAAGTTTTGTTGTTGTTGTTGTCAATGTTGTAAACATAAATACAGACATTATTATGTTTATCATTCAATCCTAACATAAAGTATTACTCACCGCAGTATCATCCCAGCCAACTTCGTCACACAGCGTTTCACACTCAGCATCACTACCGTTTAAGCAGAATGTTTGCTTACACACAGGCATTTTCATCTGAGCGTAATTGAATTTCAACACTTTTTCATCATTCTT